AGTGAATTTGGGTCACTATCTTCCTATAATTGTAATTATTTGTTTTCCTATTGCTCAAATTTCTCATTGAAGATGTGCTGTCTCAAGAGTTGACTGCCTTTTAACCCGACATAGCCTCTTGCCTGATTGTGAGACTGAACTTGTATCTACCTATTTGGAATTCCATGTGTCCTGATAATACCTAGGCAAGTCTAAATTATGTCCAGTCCCGGAGGATTATACATTTTTTGTGCGCATAAGGCGATCAAATTTACTTTCATGATCAATCTGTTTATTCATTTTATCCTTGGTAATTTACTCATCCTTTTATGCAAGACCATGAATATATGATTTATAAGCAATTATGTTTGGCTACTTTACTAGAGCAGAACATATACGCATGCATATCTGCGAATTACTGCATTTTTAAATACGCCTCTTTTATCATTCCATTTAACTAGCTGCGTGCTGATTTAAAAGCTACAGAGGACGAGCTAACGCGCGTCCGCTCATCTCTCTCCGAGGCCACCTCGACCATCATTACTAAGTCTGAGGAAGCTGCAGCAGCAGCTTGCGCATCCGCCTCTGCTGCTGCAATGGGGTCTGCTGTCACTTCGACGTCATCTGTTATTGCTACAACCGCCACACTTTCTGGATCACATTCGTCTTGTTTCGCTACTACAAATCCTACAATTCCAGGACAAATAGAAATTCCATCTTTCATTAAGATGGAGCCTCGTTCTGGTGATGGAGATTTTATTTCTGCCTCTTCAGGGCTCGGACAGACATCCTCGCTCGCATCATCTTTGAAACACGGGCTAGAAAAGCCGGCAAAGCTTGAGGTTACCGATGGCCAAGCGTTTCATACGATAAAAGATGGGGAACAACAAAAGGCAGAACATCAGGGGCCTTATCATCAGCAAAATTTCGGTTCTGGTAAAGCTATGGATCTCGATGCTAGATCATCAACGGACCAGCGTAATCGTGATCGCGATCGAGAAGAAGAAAGGGATCATGATCGAGACCACGAGGGCGAAAAGGAAGAAAGGGATAGAGATAAAGATAGAGATAGAGAAAGGGACAAGGAGAAGGACAAAGAGAAAGTTAAAGAAAAGGAAAGGGAGAAGGAGAAGGAGCGAGATCGTGAGAAGGAACGAGACAGAGAAAGAGAACGCGATAGAGAGAAAGAGAAGGACAAGGACAAGGATCGAGAAG